ATCAGGTATACTGTATTGTTCCTCGACAAGGTATAAATTACATTTGGTTAATACTTTTTCAGGTATTTGTAAGTCGTGGCGCGATGTGCTTGCAATCAGTTACTTTCGGATAAGCTTTCCACACATCCTGTCTTCAGTTGATTTAACCGGATATTGTTCAAAGCATTTTCGACACCTGCAGCAGGTGTCATGTTTAGGGTGTCATGTATATATTGCACATCGTTGTTGTTTGTTATCCAATTTTAATTCTTTTCGTAACTGAACTGGAAGGCACCCTTTCATGACCACCGAATTTGGTGGTACCTTGCCATAACAAGGACGCAGTGCTTATTTCTGTCTTTCCCAAGTCTCACATGCATCTGTATATCTATTTAAAACTGCTAAAATCCAGGCGATTTTTAAAACTGCTAAAATCCAGGCGATTTTTAAAACTGCTAAAATCCAGGCGATTTTTAAAACTGCTAAAATCCAGGCGATTTTTAAACTAAAACTTTTTAAAACTGCTAAAAGGCGATTTTTTAAATAAAATCAGCTTTTTAAAAAACAAAATCCAGGCGATTTTTAAAACTGCTAAAATCCAGGCGATTTTTAAAACTGCTAAAATCCAGGCGATTTTTTAAACTAAAATCCAGGCGATTTTTAAAACTGCTAAAATCCAGGCGATTTTTTAAAAAAATCCAGGCGATTTTTAAAACTGCCTAAAATCCGGGCGATTTTTAAAACTGGCGATTTTTAAAAACTGCTAAGGCGATGCTAAAATCAGCGATTTTGGCGATTTTTAAAACTGCTAATCCAGGCGATTTTTAAACTGCTAAATCCAGGCGATTTTTAAAACTGCTAAAATCCAGGCGATTTTTTAAACTAAAATCCAGGCGATTTTTAAAACTGCTAAAATCCAGGCGATTTTTAAAACTGCTAAAATCCAGGCGATTTTTAAAACTAAAAATCCAGGCGATTTTTAAACTGGCGATTTTTAAAACTGCTAAAATCCAGGGCGCTCCAAAAACTGGCTAAAAATCCAGGCGATTTTTAAAACTGCTAAAATCCAGGCGATTTTTAAAACTGCTAAAATTTTTTAAAAACTGCTAAAATCCAGGCGGCGATTTTTAAACTGCTAAAATCTGCTAAAATCCAGATTTTTAAAAATTTAAAACTAAAATCAGGCGATTTTTAAAACTGCTAAAATCCGGGCCGATTCGGGCTAAATCCAGGCGATTTAAAACTGCGATTTTAAAACTGCCCAGGCGATTTTTAAACTGCTAAAAATTTTTAAAGCTAAAATCAGGCGATTTTTTAAACTAAAATCTTTTTAAAACTGCTAAAATCCAGGCGATTTTTGCTAAAATTTTTTAAAACTGCTAAAATTTTTTAAACTAAAATCCAGGCGATTTTTAAAATCTTTTTAAAACTGCTAAAATCCAGGCGATTTTTTAAACTAAAATCCAGGCGATTTTTAAAAAATCAGGCGATTTTTAAAACTAAAATCCAGGCGATTTTTAAAACTAAAATCCAGGCGATTTTTAAAACTGCTAAAATCCAGGCGATTTTTTAAACTAAAATCCAGGCGATTTTTGCTAAAATCCAGGCGATTTTTAAAACTGCTAAAATCCAGGCGATTTTTAAAACTGCTAAAATCCAGGCGATTTTTTAAACTAAAAGGCGATTTTTAAAACTGCTAAAATCCAGGCGATTTTTTAAACTAAAATCCAGGCGATTTTTAAAACTGCTAAAATCCAGCTAAAATCCAGCGATTTTTAAAACTTTTTAAAACTGCTAAAATCCAGGCGATTTTTAAAACTCTGCTAAAATCCAGGCGATTTAAAACTAAAATCCAGGCGATTTTTAAAACTGCTAAAATCCAGGCGATTTTTTAAAACTGCTAAAATCCAGGCGATTTTAATAAACTAAAATGCCAGGCGATTTTTAAAACTGCTTCTTTTAAACTAAAATCCAGGCGATTTTTAAACTAAAATCCAGGCGATTTTTAAAAAAATTTTTAAAACTGCTAAAATCCATTTTTAAAACTATAAAATCCAGGCGATTTTTAAAACTGCTAAAAATCCAGGCGATTTTTAAACTAAAATCTTTTAAAAAAAGGCGATTTTAAACTAAATCCAGGCGATTTTTAAAACTGCTAAAATCCGATTTTAAAACTGCTAAAATCCAGGCGATTTTTAAAACTGCTAAAATCCAGGCGATTTTTAAAACTGCTAAAATCCAGGCGATTTTTTAAACTAAAATCAGCGCTAAAATCCAGGCGATTTTTTAAACTAAAATCCAGGCGATTTTTAAAACTGCTAAAATCCAGGCGATTTTTAAAACTGCTAAAATCCAGGCGATTTTTAAAACTAAAATCCAGGCGATTTTTAAAACTAAACATTTTAAAACTGCTAAATCAGGCGATTTTTAAAACTGCTAAAATCCAGGCGATTTTTAAAACTGCTAAAATCCAGGCGATTTTTAAAACTGCTAAAATCCAGGCGATTTTTAAAACTAAAATCCAGGCGATCTGGGCGATTTTAAACTAAAATCCAGCGCTGCTAGGCGATTTTTAAAAACTGCTAAAATCCAGGCGATTTTTAAAACTAAAATCCAGGCGATTTTTAAAATCCACGGGCGATTTTAAAACTAAAATCCAGGCGATTTTTAAAACTGCTAAAATCCAGGCGATGGGCGATTTTTAAAACTAAAATCCAGGCGATTTTTAAAACTGCTAAAATCCAGCGCGATTTTTAAAACTGGCGATTTTTTAAAAAGCGATTTTTAAAACTGCTAAAATCCAGGCGATTTTTAAAAACTGGCGATTGAAAAAAAATCCAGGCGATTTTTAAAACTAAAATCCAGCGAGGCGATTTTTAAAACTAAAATCCAGGCGATTTTTAAAACTAAAATCCAGGCGATTTTTAAAACTGCTAAAATCCAGGCGATTTTTAAAAAAACCAGGGCGATTTTTAAAACTGCTAAAACTGCCAGATTTTTAAAACTGCTAAAATCCAGTCATAGATCTTTCGTACAAAAGGTCTGTGACTGTTCTTTCCGATTTTGTCTTTGATTTACGGTGTGTTACACGCCTCTAACTTGCTGGTAATAGAACGAACATTTACATCGTTATAGACTCTATGAAGATGACTGATTGTATACTGCAATAAATCTTTTATAATGATAATAGTATCACATTTTATATATTTAACTAAAATGTGTATTTTCGAATAGAAAAGTGCAATAAATATGTTAAAAGAGGATCAATTAATGGCAATATATCAAAATGGCCTTCCAAAATCTATTTGCCATTACTCATGTGTGATTTTCTTCAACCATCTTTGACTCTGCAAATTTGTCTATGACTCGGCCGAAGTTTTAGGAATATGGCAGAAAAAAACTTGGAAGCCTCATTTGATTTATTGTCAAATGTTAATTTTGTCGCTTCTTAAATTTTACACGTATTTTTTGTTCACGTCCACAAGGATTGTATTTGAATTTGTCCTTACGTATAAGAACTGCATTTCATTTGTCCTTATGCAATTTTCCTCTCTCAAAGATTATTACGATTTGAAAATGATAAGAAAAAAGGCTACTTCTGATGAATTAAACGTTAATGGAGCCGTCTCTTACTTTTTATTGCTGTTAAGCTTTATCTCAAAGTAGGTCTTGTATCACTATTTTTTTTACAGTCAGTAGCCATAGGCTTTTAGAATTCTACCTACTATAGGGACCAACTACTTTTTAATTAACCAAAATAAGCGATTTTCAAAGGCTTGTTTTTAAAATTTGGGTAATTTTTTGCTCTCAGTTTAGTAACAAAGTTTTATAGATGATGTATTTTTTTCTAATACAGCCTTTTTAAGGTCCATTTCCTTTGTTCGGCAATTTTCCAAACATGACGTTCTTTAAAACTTTATTTTGTGCGTGTATAAGCTTTACTATGAACTAAAAAAAATGATTAAGGCCTCTGTGCCGCCATTGGCACCAAAGAGGTGTCTCATGCCCCTATGAACAGCTAACCACGACAAATGTAATGTTTATGATTTGCGTAAGTACATAAAAGCTATAAGAATCAAGTTGTGCTTCGCGGGAGATTTTGAGGCCCTCCAACAGGACGCCCTGAAAATAGAAGGTCATTAGAAATGCGCATTGACATAGCTGTTTAGGTCAATTGTCCAAAAATTGGGGGGGGGAGGGGTGCGCGAGCCGGGTGCGCGCCCCCATTGGATCTGCGCCTATATATAACATATATTTTATATGTATGTATACATATGTAGTAGGTAAGTGTATATACAATGTTTATGTATATAAATGTATACAAGATGTATATCTGTAATATAGATATACATGTGTATATACATACGTGTATATATATATATATATATATATATATATATATTATATATATATAATATATATATTATATATATATATATATATATATATTATATATATATATATTGTATATATATATATGTATATATCATATATATATATATATAATATATATATATATTATATATATATATATATATATATATATATATAATATATATATTATATATATATATATATATATATATATATATATATATATATATATGTATTAGATATATAAATGTAATATATATACAATATTATATATATATATATATACATATATTCATATGTATATATATATATATATATATATATATATAATATGTAATATACAATATAATATATATATAATATATATATATATATATATATATATATATATATATATATAAACATATGTATGTGTGTGTATGTGCGTGTGTGTGCAAACAGGCAAAAGCATATATACAAACACAAATGCGTTCTAGCACGCGTTAATTGCAGCAGGAATTCCGATTGGGCACTTTTTATCCAATTCAATTTTCCCAACCAGCATAGGAATTATCAGTGGAATGAACTACCTATAAAATAGTTTACCTCATTATTTTCCATTCAATAGTTTTGTTAATATATATTCTTATTACCGTTTTCTCAACGTGTATTTACTTGTCATCAATTCATCCAGCCAGAAACGTAAAACAATTAACAGCTACTTCTTTTTCAGCTGGCGGTGGCCAGGACGCGGAGGTGAAGGACATCCCAATTCCCATCCCAGCATACCTCCTCTGTCTAGGTTACTTGGTGGTGACTGTGATGTCCATTTGGATGTTACATGGCCTTTATAAAGTAAGTTTCATAGTGAGGAGTAGTGAGGTCTCGTTTAAAACGTAATCAAAACGTTACCAGTTCACATCTGCATGATATCTCCTTTAATGTTTGATAAGTCATGACATTTTTCCCTGATGTGAGCACAACAACCAGGTCGGGCTATTTTTAGCACAGCACATGTTCATGTTTACATTTTGTACAATACTCAACGGTGTTTCAATGGGTCTTCAGGCGTTTTTGACTTCATTAAGTCTTGTTGGCCTGGTATCCTCTCATTAAATAAAACATTCATTCATTGAGTGCATGGAGGTATTATTAAAAGTAGGTATACTTAATTTCTTCAAGCAAAGTAAAAAATATAGGCCTATGGCTCAACTCCAACTGCGAGCAATTCCACTGGAGAATCATTCATGCATAAACATAATCTCCCACTCTTCTCATCCACAGGGCTGTTTCAGTCTCTTCACTGATTTTTCATAAGTAGAACTAGTGAAATAACTTAATCATGGAATAATTATGTTTTATCGATTATTTAGTTTCGAATGAACTGATTGCAATCAGGAGTCAAACGCAGTGGCGGAACTTGGTACTTTTACCCCTGGTCCCCCTGAGAAGCCCCTCAGTCTTATTATAGTAGACATCTGCTCGCAACGAGTTTATTTTGGAGATGAAGGCTTGTAATTGTTCGTGTATTATCATCGAACCCTAAACATATGGTGTACATGTGAAACTTAGATCATTGCCATCTTTTTCAGCAGTTATGGCAAATGCGACACCTCTCGCGCGACGGGAATTGACCAGGCGTTAAACATTTATCAAGTTGCCATATGCATTCCTCCTACTTAGGATATTTCATGCATATTTGTACTCATATTGGATATCTATAACACCGCACAACCCACCATAAGATAACAGAAGCCATTTAGGAAATTATATTCCAAAATACTGTGTACCGTTTGCAAAATTAACCAGTACAGTAAAACAGCTAGCCGTCAACTGCGGCCATTCCTATTGCGTCACAGAAGTGTCCGGAGCTTAGCGGCCTATCTCGCCTGCGATCACGAGACACCTTCGGTTGACGGGGCGCGTCGCGCGACATTTAATTGCTACCGGAAATAATGACACTCATCTATATTTTAATGCTAAGAAATTCGGAGAGTCATTTGTTATTTTTTTTTCTTCATATTTTCGTATCATTAATCCTTAACTTCGAAAAAAAAGTTATAATGACACTTTCCTCATGTGATCCATTTCAATAGATGATATCAAAATAAAACGCGTCATATTCGGAGGGGGGGGGGGGGTCGGTGACACGGCGACAGGGAGGCTCGGGGTTCTCGCCTTGTGCGCTGCCTAATTTTTCGTCGCGGGAGTTTTATATTCACATAGGGAATTCTACACTCGTATACGAATCTGAAACGGCGAATGAAGGTACGGCCAGACTACCCATAAATTTCACTGGAATCCAGCGTTTTTTTTTTTCTTTTTTTTTGTGGCCTGTTACCAACCCATCCATCCATCCATGGTGTTCACACTGTGAAAGGAATCATAGGCTTTGTCCAGTGGAATTGTGTCATGAAGACAAAGCGTGACCGCAGAAACTCGCTATGGATACCGCAATCTTCTCTTGCTACTCTTTCATGTTTCCGGAGTTATAGAGGATATAAGAAGAGCAAGAGAAGCAAGAAAAGACTGCGGTTTCAACTTAAAGTTGGCGGCTACGAGTTTGTTTATATTTGTCAGTCAAATGAGAATCCATGGTCAATGCTTTTATGCTTAGTTTTTATTCGTAAATGTAAATATTGATGTAAAACAAGATATAGTCAATTTAAAATATATTGTAATATTTATGCTTTGGAATGAAAATATATGCATACCATGCATATTACAGATTCTCAATGTGTGCATTTTTTTTATTCGTTCGTCGAAAGATGAGTGGGTATCCATCGGATACTCACTCATCCTTGAGGATTGAGGCCACTGATGGGCAAGTTCTATAGAAAATCGCTGGATTTCATGAATCTATGGGCAGTCAGACCGTACCTTAAACTCATTTTCGACCACCCCATCCAACCCCCCCCCCTCCTTAGTCCAGGGATAGTCCCGAAAAAGGGCGGGTCCTAGTTTGGCAGTTGCCAGTTTTTTTGTTTTTTTATTCGGAGTACCTTTCATGTAGTATTTATGTATTTATTTATTATTTACTTTTTCAGAAGAACGAGAGGCATCTGCTGGCTTGGGTGTTTGCCATGACTTTGTTCTGTTTCCCAGAGATGGGCATGGTGGTCTTCATGAGCCTCGTCCACTGGGTAGGATTTGAATATTAGATATATATAATCTAAGGTATTTAGATAATTATGATCCAAATTCTAAATCACACATATCTTTTAGAAGTATATTTATTACTCTACAATATTAATTACAATAATAAGATATTTTTTTAAGATTAAGGTAATAACTATAGCAAATGCATTATGTCTGCAACTATGGCAACTAGTCTTTGAGCACCGACAGCATTACTAATCCATATAGGGTAGTTGTGATTATAAAGTATAATGTATTTGATGGCATACAAGACGAGCACGCGCAATAGACGCACTCACATATCAGCAGGTTATGTGCAGGAAAATAGCCCCGTCTTCGCAATATATTTTTTTTTTCTAAGCGCGTCTTATAGGCTGTCAAGTAAGGTATGTATGTGTGTGATTTTTGTATGTATTATCTTAAGTGTACACACACGCACACGCACACGCACACGCACACGCACACGCACGCACACACACACACACACACACACACACACACACACACACACACACACACACACACACACACACACACACACACACACACACACACACACACACACACACCACACACACACACACACACACACACACACACACACACACACACACACACACACACACACACACACACACACACACACACACACACACACACACACAGAGGGCATGTGTAAAGAACTGTTTGACCAAGAATGAATCAAGATACGAATGATTTGTTCTGTACGCGCGAGAGGCGAGATGCGGAGACGATTATGTGCGCCCATAGATAGGTTTCTTTAAGTCAAATTCAAAGTCGCGAGTGGCGGGAAGGGAGGGTCGTTCAGGTCAACAAATATATACTGTAGGTATCATAAACAATCCGTCTATGGCAGAGGACAACATAACTATATACATATATATATATATATATATATATATATATATATATATATATATATATATATATATATGTGTGTGTGTGTGTGTGTGTGTGTGTGTGTGTGTGTGTGTGTGTGTGTGTGTGTGTGTGTGTGTGTGTGTGTGTGTGTGTGTGTGTGTGTGTGTGTGTGTGTGTGTGTGTGTGTGTGTGTGTGTGTGTGTGTGTGTGTGTGTGTGTGTGTGTTGCGTGTGTGTGTATGCGTGTGTGTGTTTGTGTGTGTGTGTGTTCAGTTTTGTTTAGTTTTGTTGTTTTGTTTTAGAGGCAGTAGAGCAGATCGGTGTTTTCGTTGTAAAGATGGAAAGTCTGCATGTTAAAGAAGACAACAAAATACCAGTGGAAAGAGATCCGACACTTTTTTTTGTTGTTGTAGGGATTTTGTTGTTTGGATACGGGTTGTTTTAAAAAAAATACAATAATAGTAATTGTAACACGTAAATTCATTAAAAAAACAAAACAAAAAAAACGTTCTATATTCGGACACGTAGTAATAGATCAAAGTCAAAATTCATTTCATAAAACGTGCCATGAAAAGCTAAAAACTTGAATAATCCTGTTATTCTTTATGTTTTTTAAGTCCTATATCTTCACGCTCAGACTTTTTGCAATTTTCTAATTTAATTTGTTTTCGTCCTATCGCTCTTTTTTTCTGAAAAATCGAAGAAAAAAATAATAAACTGTATATAGATTGCCGTTACTCATGGACCTCACTTCGTTTTACAAACTAAATTACTTATGTACCTGTATAATCCCTAAGTACAGTTATGCTATAGCTGGGCATATTGGCTGTATTTTGCTCCAAATGACACCGCCACAACTCTTAAAATGCTAATCCAAATCATGTACTTAAATATTGTTTGATAACTGCAATATTTTTACATGTATGTTGTTACTAAAAAAATAATAATTTTGCAGAAAATTACTTCAAGCTACGGTCTAGCAGATCTCGTGTTCTATATATTCCGAGCAGCTTTTAATGTAAGTATGAAGACTTTAGTTTATTTGAACACTTGTTACATTCCATTTATCTTTCACAATGCAAGAAACGTTTCACTGTCATTTGGTAATTCTCCCAACAGCTAATGTCAGTCCTGTGTGTGCAGTCACAGTATTCTACATGGCGTGATGCTGCCGTCAACAGCCAGACACTCAAGACACTAGAACATCTGCAGATGGTAAGGATCTACTGGTATATATATACACACACATACATATGTATATATATATATATATATATATATATTATATATATATATATAATATACATATATATATATATATATATATATATATATATATATATATATATTATATATATATATATATATAATATATATGTATATATATATATATATATATATATATATATATATATATATATATATATATATATATATATATATATATATATCTCTCTCTCTCTCTCTCTCTCTCTCTCTCTAATATATATATATATATATATATATATATATATATATATATATATATACATATATATATATACATACACACACACACACACACACACACACACACACACACACACACACACACACACACACACACACACACACACACACACACACACACACACACACACACACACACA